GGGTTCCAGTTAGGACGTCGTGACAGGAATAGAACATTTTTATGAAATTTGAGATGCTTCCGAGTTGATTTTGTTGATGACATTTGGTGATCATGTTCTTTCTAAAGTGTAGGTTATGTTCACCGAATTTCAGATTAAATTTAAATCAAGAAGTTAGTTAAATTATTTATTGAAAAAACATGCATTTTTAGGCCTAAAAAATTGTGCAAATTTTCAAAAAAATTGTTTAACTAACTTCCCAATTGAAAGGAACCAACTTCAGATTCGAGCTATCACCGCCATCATTATGCCCTTAACAAACAATTCTTTCTCTTCCACTTGCTAAATAAATATGAACTCTATTTGGGCAGTTTATGGCCATTGGAAACAGTATCAACACTCGTATCAACTATTGCTCTAAGTTCCAATTGCAGAATCACAGTTTTGCACAATTCACTTGAGCTCATGTTTGGAAGGCAACAGTAAATTCAAGTTCTGTAATCTAGAGAAGCATGTGTAATCCTACAACATACAAACTATTGATAGAAATGCTTAAAGCAATGTAAAAATGGAAATGTATATCATATATAACACATGCACCTAAACATGATGACTTATGGGCAAATTATCAACAAATATGAAACAATAAGAAATTATAAAATATTGCTTCCGGGAATTAACATACCAAACGATTTAGTTGCATAATTTCTAAAATTTTCTTGGCAAAAATTTTGTCACATGCCTTCTGAAAATGTTCATGTAAAGTAGGTCTAAAAGTTGCATTTTAGGCCTATTTCATTTGAGCTATTTCCCGGTCGAATTTGTTGATAAAATTTGGTGAGCATGTTCCCATGTAATGTAGATATGTCCACCAATTTTTAGATTGAAATTCAATCGGGAAGTTAGTTAAATAAATTTTTAAAAAATGCATAATTTTTTCGGCCTAAAAATGCAGCTTTTATCAATAAATTATTTAACTAACTTCTGATTTAATTTTAATCTGAAATTCGGTGGACATAACCTACACTTTAGGATGAACACGATCACCAAATTTTATCAAAAAACTTGACTCGGAAGCCCCTCAAATTTCATAAAATTGTCTCATTCCTGTCACAACGTCCTAACCGGAACCCCCGTGCGAACAACACCATCAGAGGGTCTTCCTGGTGAAATTTTTCGAGAAATATACGGTTCACCTATGGCGTCCTTAGATAATATCATCATACTAAAATCCGAGATTCAATTAAGTTTTATCACTGGGTCATTGATAGCTGACAACTTTTAGAACAAGTGTACTTCACGGGTCACTAAACGGTGTTTATTAAAACTCGCATTAATAAACGGCGCATAATTAAGCAGTGTTGTAATAAGAACATGTTTACTTCAAAAGATTTTAAACACCCATTTAACATTAAAATGTCCAAAATAACTCTATACATATATAGACACATAAACATTCATGAACACAAGTACATAACATAATATGTGGAGGTACTCTAACCCCTACCCCACCCTACCCTACCCCCACAACCTTAACCCCTACCTCTTCCTTACCCCTACTCTAACCACGATCTTACCCTCTGCTCCTATTTCCCTCGTAACCCCTACCTGTTAGGGGTGGGGTCGGGTCGAGGTAGGGGCATGTGGTATGGGGTAAAGGGATAGGGTAAGGGGGGTTGGTTAGGGGTGGTAAGGGCTAGGGGGTTAAGGTAGGTGGGGGGATGGGGTCGAGGTAGGGGCAGGTGGATGGTAGGGGTAAAAGGGTGGGGTCAGAGTAGGGAAGAGGTACGAGGTGGGGTGGAGGTGGGGTAAGTAGGGTAGGATGGGTAGGGGTCGGGTGGGATCAAGTTAGAGGAAGGTAGTAGGGGGTAAAGGGGTAGGGGGTAGGTAAGGGGCTGGGGCGGAATGGGTTGAGGGTAGGTTGGGGGATGGGGTCAGGGTGGAGTAGTATGGACCCGGGCCGGGCCAGTTTCGGTTCGGGCCTGGGCCCGACCGAGCTTTTTTTGGGGGAAGGGAGAACCGGCCCGGGTAGGCAGCGGTTCCGGGCCAGTTCCGGCATTTATTTATTGTTAGAAAATCATTATACTCATCAACAAAATCAACTCGGAAGCATCTCAAATTTCATAAAAAATGTCCAATTCCTGTCACGACGTCCTGATCGGAACCCCCGTGCAGACAACACCATCAGAGGGTCTTCCCAGTGGAATTTTTTGATGAAATGTTTTTGAGCATGTTCCTCATCAAGTCTAGTCTATTCATACAAAGTTTCAGCTCAAAATTCAATCGGGAAGATAGTTAAAAAAATTCTTGAAACATACTGCGTTTTATATATGTACAAAATGTGCTGTAAGAGAAGAGCCGCCACTTGAAGTGGCGGCTTTTGTACTGTAAGAGAAGAGCCGCCACTTCAAGTGGCGGCTTTTCTTAACTACGGTTAACCCAACAGTATTTTGGGAATTATTTTTAACCCAACAGTATTTTGGGAATTATTTATTTAATTAGCATTATTTCGGGAAAAAACTCTTTATTTAAACCTTAACCGGTATTATTTTTTAATAAACCCTTTAACAACCGGTAATAATACGTTGGGACCATTTACGAAGGTAGAATACAAAGGTTGGTTTTTCTTGGATTATTAATAATTGGGACCGTTTTGGGAAGACCGGGGTAAAGGTTGGATTATTAGTGTTAAATTTTCCTTTCAACTTTATACGGTTATACCAATTCAAGCAATTAATTAAGAAATAATTACATATTTATAATTAAAATAAAGATTGTTTACTTAAAAATGTAACTAGTTAATAATGAAATCATAGTAATTTATGCTCAACTTTTAAACCTGAGTTAATATGACACTACATTGTACGGAGAATTAACTAACGGTCATATTTTTGTAAATTATAAGTTTTACTTTAGTAATATTTGTGTAAAACCCCATTAATCAATTACACTTTAGATCAATTTAAACCAATAAACGTGCAAAAGAATGTAAACCTTAAACATTTAATCAATCCAATTTTAAAGTAAATAATTAATTAAATCAAATAAGCAAATAAGGTAATTAAAACAGATTTCAATTTTAAAATTAATTGCCAAACTTACGGACTTATCCAAACGGCCAAACTATGGAGTTCGTGACGCAGTCACGCAGGGGCAGCCGAGAAGGGACTGGCGAAAGCAAGGCTGTGACGCCGAATCCAGAGTCGTAAAGGCCGGTCGGCGATTGGCGAGGCGATAGACGGCTTCTGGACTGGAACGACGAACACGCATAGGCCGCACAACGAATTAGGGAAAAAAGAAGGTCAACGCGCATATCATAGTTATGGCCAAAACGACGTCGTTTTGTTTTCCCTGTGCACTTATTCAAACGACGTCGTTTGGCTCATTAATTATTAAAAAGAAAACAGGTTGTCAGCTCCTTCCCTAAGCTCTGGTTCACAGCATCTCCCACAGGCAACGGCAGTCTCAACGAAGAAGATGAAGAGGTGGCGCCGGCACCGACTCGCCCACCCCTGGTTCCGCTCCTGTGTACGTGTACACCACGGTGTACCATATAGGCGTTGTCTTTTTAGATGTTGATCCTATAGGGCATTTTCCACGATTTGAGGAAGTAGAAGATTTAAGAATTTTTGTCTTAGGGTAACATGATAGACTATCCAAAATCAATAGACTTTCGAGATCCCGACATTATGAATATTGATATAACTATAACAGTAGAATGAAGATTTATATGAATAAGTATGAAAATATGAGTACTACATATTAAATAGAATGAATATTAAATAATACTCCCTCCGTTCCTGATAACTTTGGCATCTTTTTTAACATGTCCTAAATATTTTGTCATTTTTAATCAATTAATTTGTAATTCCTAATATTTCTCTCTCTTCTTTAGAAACCTTAACTATATAACTTTTACTTTATTATTCTCATTACCGATCAAACTTGGCAAAGTTTTGAAAGGTGTAAGAGGTATGAATATGAACTAATATGAGTATTGAATTATATGAATACATAAGAGAGTAGTAGTGTTGATGTAGAGTAAGATGAGATATTGAGTAGATGAGATATTGAGTAGTTGAAGTGTGTGAAAAATGAGAAGAATGATATGTATGAGTAGTTTCCCACACCACCCTACCCTACGTACAGTGGCGTAGCTAGGGGTGGGCCAGACCTGACCCTGGCCCAGCCCAAATATAAAAAATGTCTTAATTTTTAGAGTAAAAAATTGCGTGTAATTTTTTTTTCAAAAATATTCTTTGTACCGGCCCAGTCTAGCCCAGTGTCCTGGGCCTCCTGGCTCTGCCCCTGCCTACGTACCAGCCCAACGATCAAAAGAACTGTTTGCGAGCTGAGCACTAAAAAGCCTTCGGGGATGGCCAACCGATGGGGGGGGGGGGGGGCATACTAGCTGTTGGGACTAGACCGGAACCGGGGCTGACTCGTTCTAATCCCAATTTTAGGCAACCCGGGACTAAGTAATATAAACCGAGGGCAGCGGTTCCAAGACCGGATTTGCGACCCCCAAGACCGCCGCCCACTCCCCCACCCCCGAAACGCCCTAATTGGTCCTGATTCAGACCAATCTTGGTACCCTTTCCACCCCTATATGGCTATATAACATGAACAATCGCATACTCTCTCTAATCTATACAAGTTGATCAAACTTGTCTTCCACTTGAAATAAGAAAATAAAAAGTTGTTAAGATTTTGTGGAGAAGGGGAGTTTTAAAAATGACAAATTTGTTTATAACAACTAAATTAGAAAAGTTGTCAAAATATATTGAGATAGAATAAATATAAAAAAAAACTATATAATACTTCTTTCGTGGTTAAATAAGTGCAAGTACAATTAGAGGTGGGCAATCCGGTTTACGGTTTGATTTTCTTCGGTTTCGGTTTATTCGGTTTGGGAGAATTTGTACCAAACTAAAACCATTTGAGTTTCGGTTTGATTTCGGTTCGGTTTGAAGTTCGGTTTACCAAAGTGAAAATTATTAGGTTCAATTTAGTTCGATTTTGTCACACCCCAGACCGCATCTGAGCGCGTGTACAACCGCCGTATGACTAAATGACGTCACTCGCAAGTCAACGCGACTTAGTCACACAAGGCGTCCATGAACATAGTCCATACCATACTCAGTAAGTAAACATACATAACAACATCACATCTTGGGATTGAATGAATAGCGGAAATATTCAATATTCAATCATGGACCACACATGGCCAAACGTAGGCACGCAGGCCCAAAACAAATGTATTTATTACAAAGTATCCATGAGCAAGTTTGTAGTTTAAAACAATAAAGGAAGCACGAACCACGTCTTCCTTTAGAATACTTCACCGAGCAAAATGTGGATAGCTAGCCTTAGCTTCAACCTGAAATGGTGGGGCCCCCCGGGGTCAGTACAAGTACCGAGCGAGTAGCAAGCTAAATGTAGAATAACTAACGTTTCAAGTATAAGACCCAAACATAGGGTGATACATATACATATAGTCCTTCCCCCAAGTTTGAAATACATATTAGTATGCATACACTTGGAAATACCCGACCCGTAGGTCATTGTTTATTCGGGAAATAATAGTAGCCAATATCCTTGACTTAAATCCCAACCCACCCATATACCTATGAGTGTATAGAACTCCTCCTTGTTCAAATAAATTATCATAAGGACACCGCCCGGTCCTAGATCATTAAATGTAATCTTATGAGTTTTGAGGATACACGCCCGATCCTTGGGTACTCCACCCTATAACCGAGTTTTGAGGATAACCGTCCGATCCTTGGGTACTCCACCCTATATAACCGAGTTTTGAGGATAACCGTCCGATCCTTGGGTACTCCACCCTATATAACCGAGTTTTGAGGATAACCGCCCGATCCTTGGGTACTCCACCCTATATAACCGAGTTTTGAGCATAACCGCCCGATCCTTGGGTACTCCACCCTACAGGGGCGGAGCCAGGACCGATGTTTACCCTGGGCCGACTATACACTAAAACATTATATAAAAATTTAAAAACGACAATAGTGTTAACATAATGATTAAAATTCATTAAAATTCATACTAATATTTTAAACAATGCATACAATGTTTGAAACTAAAACGTTAATTGAACACGACGCTCTTTGACCTTAGCAAACTCATCTATGACAGACTCAACGTCAATTTTGTTGGCAAATTCCTTTTCAATAAAGATGGTCAAACGATCGACAAGAAATTTATCTTTCATCTTATTACGAATTTCATTCTTCACGAGTTTCATTGCAAAAAATTTCATTTTTCACGAGGTCCAAGCATCAAATAAGATCGTCTAATTTCATCTCTTTTCTCTAACGGCCAATCTCGTTTTTCATTTTTCCGGATCCAGCTCAATTTCAAGTGCATCTGAAACTACTTCCTCTTGAGCGAATGAGATGTTCGGAGTTTCAATTGAGACATTTAACTCTTGTCTACTTTGTGTGCTTGTATTAGGCTTATAAAACGAACGCAATGTGATTTTTGCCTTTTTGAAAGTAGATTGAGTAGCCATACCTACTACAATTACCAAAAAAGAATAAAACTAATCAATATTATATTTTAATTCATATAAATATAACTCATATTAATATTTAAAAAAATTCACATATAACATTTAATATTCCTAATTTTCTATTTTAAAATTCAAAGCACCCAATTACACAAATCAAACTAAGTCACAAATACAAACTAATTTAACAAAATGACAAATAAAACAATTAATTAATCTAAAAATTGTAAAAACGTAAAAAATAAACCCTTACCTTGGCTTGAACTCTTGAAGGAGTAAGAATGTAAGATTGAGGAGAGGAGAAGCAGAATCAGCCGGCTTTTGGAGTCCAAGAGTGCTGCGCAGTCCGCACAGGGGAGCAGCGGAGCAGGAGCAGACCCCGAGTGGCCCGAGCAGCTTAGGGAGTTACTGAGTTAGCATGCGTCTCCGGCGAGTCGGCGAGCACACGACGAGTCGGAGACGTCCGTCTGAGACGTGCGTGGTGCGTGATTCGTGAAAGGCGTCCGGCTTAGGAAGTTGAGAATTGGCCTGCGTCTCCCGCTGGCTTGGAAGCTGCTGCGGCGCAACACTTTTTTTACTTGGAGCTGGACTGTTTTTGCACTGGGCCATATATTTCTTCATTGGGCCAGATTTTTTTTACACTGGGCCAATTTCTAAAAACGTATTTAACCTATATATATAATACAAAAAACAAAAAAAATTACCCTGGGCCATGGCCCAGCCTGGCCACCCCTTCCCTCCGCCCCTGCCACCCTATAACCGAGTTTTGAGGATACACGCCCGATCCCTGGGTACTCCACCCGACCTATGACTTACCACATATCACACTAGATAGGGTCTATATCATATTATTACTAAAGACTAAACCAAGTCTTAGAAGTACATCAATAAATATCAACCTTGACATTAAATCATCATATTCCATGCAATTCCATGCACAATATACACACATAGGTTGTACGGGGTCAGCCCCTCCTTTGAACCGGACTTCGGTTCGCGTTTTCGGTGAAATTAAAATGTGGAGGCAGTAGCTTACCCGGCCCCGGGTATGCCCTATACCCGGCGCCGGGTATGTTCGGAGTTTTGGGTCAACGACCCGTTGACCCCCGAGTTGACCCCCGAATCGTGATCCGTTTGATCCGAAATTTTTATACAACCTATTTCATGTCTAAAACAATCAATAAATGCCATTTTGGCCATCCAAAACATCACATATGTTTTTATACACATTTTCTACCTTCCACATGCATAATCATGTAGTTTTATTCACATAAGCCTAATCATCTTGACTAATCACATGCTTAAACTCTTTTAAACATCATTATGAATACTTATAACATTTATTTAGGTAATCTCATACTTAACCCAAGAGTTATAAGACATTAAGCCGTCCACTCACCTCGAATGAGCGTTATGAAGTTCTACCCTTCCCGGTTGAACTCCGGTGAAACTCCGGCGAACTTTGATGAACTCCGGCGACAACTCCGGTAACTCTTTCAACTTCGTGAAAGTTCTTAAATCACCCTTTACAAGTGCCTAACAAGGTTTTAACATCATAAAACCTTAATCAATACAAATAACCCTTAAAAGGTTATTTTCCGGTGAACCGGTCTCTATGGCTTCTAAGTCCGCTCTTGGACTTAAAACCACCCTTCAACCCATTGTTCTACACTTTGGGCATGTAGAACCATCCTAGGGGTTATTCACGTGATATATATCTCATATGCTAGGAGAAAAATAAAGGAAAAGTTGTGATAAGGTTATTACCTTAATCACCACACCTTTTCTTCCCTTTTTCCCTTCTTTAAACTCCCTCTTTGGATGCCTTGGACTTGAGCTCGAAATTAGCTGTGAAAGAATGGAGTTGCAGAGCTCTTTTACTCCTCTTGGATGCCTTGGGTCGAATGAATGATGGAGGTGAGAGGCAACACCCTCTTTTTGGCTTATTACACAATGATAGCATGGCATGGACCCTTCCAATGTCCTTTTGATGCCATTCTCTTCAAGTCAACATTGCCTACACCCTCTCATCCCATTCATCCGTCCTCTCCCCTATCACAGCCCACACAAATTCGTGGGGTGGCCCCCACTTGTGTGGGAGGTCATCCCAATATGTCCAGAACTGTACAATCGTCCCCGAAAGTTGTATCTTTCGGACTGTTTTAAGTATATTTTATTTTATCGGGTCAAATAAAATATATTACATGTCCATAGAAATTATGGATCTTAAGAATGAATGTACATTCCCCAACTTTAATTTTAAAGTCTCCGAAATTCATTTCGGACTGTTATATGAAGAAATTGTCGGTACTAGTAATTGGGCTCTGTTTGACAAACCGGTCAACCCAATGCCCTTCTTATGGCCCATTATGAATTTCCACCACCATGTAACTATTATCTAGACCAAGATGAATATAACATGTGGTCTCGTGTTATCGGGTTACCCCCGCTCCGAGTGTGGACCCCGCGTGGAGTTTACTCTTCACGCAAAAGAAATAACAAAAATTTACAACCTCGTAAATTCATTACTAGACACGCCATGTTCAATACATAATTTTCATAAAGGTAAATATATTTGGGGACGGTGTTACAGATTTGATTCAGTTTATTATGTTTATTTTTTTATTTGATAAAGTTCTATATTTTAGAATTGGAAAATGAAAGTAGTAGTCCTTCTCACCTTCTTGTATTTATTATTTAAATAAAAGATAGAAAAAGAAATAATAAAACATTATGGAGTATAAATTAGGGAAAACTGTCAAATAGGTCCTCGAACTTTCATAAAAAAAAGTCAATTAAGTCCTTCTATAGGATGTTCTGTCCGGCCATCGCGATTTGGGGCGGTTCCCGATGTATTTTTTTGATGAATATTTTTGAGCATCTCATTCATCAAGTCTAGTTTACTCATACCAAATTTCAGCTAAAAATTCAATCGGGAACACATTCAAATTAATTCTTGAAGATAATTGCGCATTTTTGCATTCTAAAATTAATTTGAATGCTTTCCCAGTTGAATTTTTAGCTGAAATTTGGTATGAATAAACTAGACTTGATGAATAGGATGCTCAAAAAATTTCATCAAAAAATTCCACCAAGAACCGCCCCAAATCGCGACGACCGGATAGAGTCTCCTATAGAAGGACTTAATTGACTTTTTTCTGAAAGTTCGAGGACCTATTTGACAGTTTTCCCTATAAATTAACACCTAATTTATCTTACCAACACTGATAACATTAAAACTTCTAACATCTTTTTTATCATTAGAAAAGGATTCACTTCTCACAAAAAAATTATAGTTGATTAACATTTATAATACTACGTTTCACATAAAAATATTTAAAAAAATATTAAATGAGTTAGAGGTACAAATGTTGTAATATTCACAATTTTATTCAAATGAATCATGTAAAAAATATAAATGCAATATACTATTGTTATCGCCAAACTTCTTTTCATACAGGTAGAGTACAAAACATTGCAATATACTTTGTCATAATAAATGTAGGAAATCTATAAAAGAAGTTAAAATGATATATGCTAAACATGTATTTTTCATGTCTAAATTATTTATTTATATCCTAAAGATGAAGTGAATATAAATACAATATATATAAGGTGCGGTTCCAGTGAGAACAATGCTTAACGTGAGAACATTCACATTTAAATCAATTTGGTGCACAATAGAGCTATTTTGTTGCACATTTTCAATTTGTTTGAACTAAGCCTATATTAAATAAACACAGTGACATTTTGATAAATATTGCAGAAATGTGAAAAAGTGAAATATACAAGCTTCATTGTGCAACACGTTGGGGTGAATGTGATGATATTCTCACGTTAAGCACTGTTTTCATTTGATCTTTAATATATATATATATACACTAGCGATTACTCGCGCAAGGCGCGATAGTGTTTGTCCAATATTAAAATAATGTTATCTTTTGTAAAAAAGTTTTATATGCAATATTGGTATGACAGTTTTGTAAATAGTTAATGAAATTTTACATATCATATACTACGTATATTTTAAAAATTGTCAGAATAATTATATTCTATGTCAACCAATTATTGTGTGGAAAATATATGTTTATGTGGAAAATATGTGATTATGTACAAATACATTAAGAGCTCATTTAGTAACACTTAAATTGTTGAATCGGGTGATTCAACTGAAATTTATGAAGTTCTGGTTGAAGTGGCTGTATTGGCTGATTCTGCTGATTTATGAGAAATTATATTTAAAATATATTTTATTAATAAAATAAAGAAAAAATTATATGAAAAAAAATTAAAATAGTCATCTACAGTAACTTCAGCCAATATAGCCAGAAAAGTAACTACACCATTACTTTTTCATATTATTACAAAATTCAGCGCGCGAAATCAAAAGTTATGTGTTTGGTTAAAAAGGTGGTTGATAAGCCTGATAAGCCGAAAAATAGAGTTACCAAACGGGTTTGAAGAATATTGATGTAAATATCATCCAAATGCATATAGTGTGCGTCAAACCAGTTTTATGAGCAATACATATTTCACATATATGACAATGTTGTAACCATATGAGTTTGAAGTAATAAAAGATATTTAAGTCACGTATTTAGCGATATAGCATCGACCTTTGATAGAAAACTTTTGTATGTTAGTTAACAGGCGAAACATTTCTTATATTGAACATATGTTCTGTAATTGTAACAATATATTTTTTCAAAAACTAAAACTTATATATTTAGAAAGTAAAAGAAAATTTATATTAATGCATAAAATTAAATGAAATTTGAGTATGTTAAGAAAAAACAATAAAATCGTAAAATAACAAGTTCACATCCCAAAAAGGGAAAAGAATAATAGAAGAGATGGCATGGCAGGATACAAATGAGATAGATAGATGGCATATATAAAAAATACTCGTATAATTGTTCTTCTGTCATTTAATGAAGGAAAAAGGTGCAAATAGGCCCATGTACTAACCAAAAAAGGTCAAATAAGCCCTTATTTAGGAGGTTCTGTCCGGCCGTCGTCATTTGGGGTGGTTCTCGGTGGATTTTTTTGATGAAATTTTTTGAACATCTTATTCATCAAGTCTAGTTTAATCATATCAAATTTCAGCTAAAACTTCAATCGGGAAAGCATTCAAATGAATTCTTGAAGATAACTGCGCTTCTAACTGCACAGTTATTTTCAAGAATTCATTTGAATGCCTTCCCGATTGAAGTTTTAGCTGAAATTTGGTATGAGTAAACTAGACTTGATGAATAAGATGCTCAAAAAATTTCATCAAAAAAATCCACCGGTAACCACCCCACATGGCGATGACCGGATAGAGCCTCCTAAATAAAGGCTTATTTGACTTTTTTTGGTTAGTACATGAACCTATTTGCACCTTTTCCCTTTAATGAAATATACAATGTGGGATCCCTTCCTTTTCCATGCAATCAACTTTGTATTTCATGATGGAGATGTGTGGTGCGAAGATCAGCTTTGTATTAAACGGAAGTTAAATACTTACGCTACCGTAAGGGTAAAGCAGCCATATGAAAAAATAAGTTCCACCTTCTAATAAAAATATACAACATCTTGTGCACTAAGTGTGTTGACACAATTCAGGGGTACCAACCCTCATTCATAATTATATTGTTGTTAGATATATATATATTACAAGTTGTTCGATGTTCGGTTCGTTTTACAGTTTTTCAGTTTTAAACCAAACCAAACCTTTCGGTTTGAAAAAATCCTTACCAAACAGTTTACTTAAGTAAACCCAAACCAAACCAAACCAAACCAAACCATCCATTTTCGGTTTGGTTAGGTTCGGTTCGATTAAACCAAACAATTTTGCCCGGGCCTAAGTGCAATAGTCCACTTTTCACGTTTGTCAATGCACAATTTTGACCATTAATATATATAAATCTCAATTATTAAAAAATTTAAAAAAAAATCAGATTTGACTTTTTTCTAAAGATAATTTGTTAATACATTAATAATTAAAGTATAATCAAAGTAGAATATGTGGGTAGTGTAAACTTCAACATGTTGCACTTATTTAAGAAAGGGAGAAGTATATATTAGGAATTTAATTAGACAGAAATTGCAGTACGGGAAATGTATCTCGAACAGGAACTAGACCCAAGAGACTAGTTTAAGGGTTGTTTACTTTTCTTTTCCTATTAAGTCCTTTCTATATTAAGACGTCTACATCGATTAAGATGTCTATCTACATTGAGTGATATTTGTACATGAAGTTATTTATTTTGCATGAGGAATAAACCGCCTAAGTTGAATAAAATAATCAACTTAGTATTATTCTAATATTATAATGTCAATGAGAAATTTCATTTATTAACAAAAATCTATTCCACAATCGATTTAAAAAAATGACAGAAAAGACATTTTAATAGAAGTCTTAAAGTACTCGAGATTTTTCATTTCACCTCAATTAACTAATTACGCTGATGAAAGAGCGGCGATTTGGAGTGATGTAGCGAATAAACCCTAGAAGCGTACGAGGGACGAAGCCGATTTCAGATCGTTTGATTGTGTGCGGCGAAGTCCCCCTCTCCGGTAACAGGTTCTCCTTTTCTGATTGAATCCGGTCGCTTTTGTTTTCTGTTGTTTTGGATTTCGGGTCGTGAGATACCCGACATTTTATTCTGGCGCTCCTTTGCAGAGGATCTTTATTCGTTCTATTTTGAAGGGTATTTATGTTTGATTGCTGTTTTTGTCAAACCCACGAAATTTTGACAAGATTTTTGAGTTATTGTTTTGGTTCGTTATTGTTTGTTGATGTGGAAGAACTGTGTTTTTGATCCGCTCTTGTTGTTTTGTTTTTGTACATCTTGCTATGTGGTTTGATTATTATTTTGGATATGTTTGTTGAGACCTTTAGTAAAGTTACCATTACCGAGGAGGAAGAGTGGTATGGCGATGGGGGTGCTTGTTTCTTGGCTATGGCAAGAATGGTAACGGATAAACCTGTTCGCCCAATCGCTTTTCGTGAAACCATGGCCATGGCCTAGCGACCAATTCGGGAGTGACCAT